GATCCTGCAGCTCAAAGGTGCTCAGCATCTGTCACCATGGTGGTCCTGCAGGTCAAAGGTGCTTTTCATCTGTTATGATGATCCTGCAGGTGAAAACTCTGACTTTTAAGAGGTTTACCAAAGGTGGACAAGTCAGTAAACCTGCTGAGCAGTACACCTGTCAGGTATGAACTATGATCTCATATGCCCACCTCCTATCAGCTCTCAGGAAGTATGGCGATACCAGGTGTGAACAGATGTGGGTCAGACGGTTTTGCAACTGGACCACAAGCTTTCTCAGGATCTAAACAGAGAAGTGAAACCTGACTGAGCTTCTGAGACTGAATGAGTCAGCTCTCCGGATAGATGCCTCACAGCACACACCTGGCTGCCAGCACACCTGACCTGAGTATCCTCTGAGGAATAACCAGGTCAGAAAGGAGCGGTGACGTCACACGTCCAGGTTGACAGACAGCTCAGTGAGAGTCTGGACGCGTCATCACTGACGGATAACACCGGCTATCTCAGAGTTAGCCTCTCGACCTGCTGTTAGCAGGGAAAACCCGAACCCCAGCTGGACAGAACCCGCTGCCCGGTCTGCTGTTAGCCTCAAAGCTAGCAGCCTGATGATGCTCTGCCGGCGGATGCTAGCTGAAGCCAACGGTAAACAGTAAAGGGCCATTTTACTGTTTAATCCAGTTCCAGATTAAAAATAAATAAATCTAGTTACACTAAAATAATAATTCAAACAAATATAAAATAAATGACGTGGTCACAACTGAGCTGTTAAGCTAAACGCAAGTTTACGACTAGATATGTTTCGTGATTTAAGTATAACTGAACGCTTTCTGGTTTATTCAGACAGCAGCTTTAAAGTCTACACGGTCCATCAGTCTAAGTGTTTCAGTTTTCATCAGAACTCGACGTGGAGGTCTGGATGTGACAACACGGTAAAACAGCCCTTCTCTGTCGGATCGCAGGCGGATTCAGCAGCTCCGGGTTGTTGGTTCCTGCTCACCTGCGCAAACTCATTTGTAAAATTACCGATAAACATGAGCATACCGAACCATGACCGCCACTCCGAGCTCTTACCTTTAGCCAGAGCCACCGTGGAGTTTTCGGTATCGATCGTGTACAGGATTCCTTCATAGCGAATCTCGGCCTTAGAAATCAAACTGATTTTGCTGCCGAGATAAGGCGTCCCGCTGCTCATGGTGTCTCTCCCGCGGCACGGCGTTCAGAACAGAAACAGAACGGCCGGTCCTTCCGAGCCGTGCGGTCAACAGAAACGAATCTTCAGCGACCGTTCCAGCTTGTTTCCCTCTTTCACGCTCCGCAGCTACAACATGGCCGCCTCCTCCTCCATCCAATGTTTCTGCGCGCGGGGGCTAACGAGACTTTGAGTTATCGCGTGATTTCAATGCGTCACGAAGCATAGATCTGTAAAGAATAGAAAATAAGTCATGGTCATGTAAACACGTTTTTGGATGGGCAGAAACTTGAGCCATCACCAGTAACACCAGCACTGAATTTGGATTTCACTAAATTGAAACTGAATTTAATGGTTTGAAACATTTGCTTTGAAAATTCAAATTCAGTTTGGGTAAAAAATTAAAAAAAATGTTTGGGTGGCTCAAGTTTCAGTCCATATAAAAGTTCTGAAGCTAGAATGTTAAAAAAAAAATTCAATTTATTCTTACATATATTCAGTAACTTCCAAAACCAAAATGATGCTTACATAATTTACCATGATTGTTGAATTTTATTTCTATTTGCATATATATATATTTCTGTTTATTGTAAAACTGCATTTTTAATTTCCATCCATCCATTATCTTTTTCCCGCTTCTTCCATTTTGGGTCACGAGATTTTTTTATTTCTTCAGTGTCAAATAATAAATAACACACGTTTAATCATTTGTAAAATTAGATAAAACTTTCTTTTATTCATCCATTAGCTAAAAATAACAAATATTCTGTGAAATAAAATCATGACGGTTTCTAATAATTAGCATCTACATATGCCCATCTAAAGATACATTTGGACAATAATGTTATTTCAAATTAATTCAATAGAGCAGATGCAATTTCAAGTTTAAAACGTGTAATTTACAGCTGATATTGACCAGGTCACCCTTATGAAAGAGATCTCGATCTCAACGGGCTCTACCTGGTAAAATAAAGGTGATTGATTGATTGATATTACACCAATATCTAATAAATATTACGTGCAAAAATAAATTGTGACTTAAATATAAAAGCATTTAATCCAACACTTTAAAGCTGCAAACTGGGCCAAATTCACAACGTAAACAGTTTTACTGTACTCTGGAAAAAAAAAAAACTAAAACTAATATAAAACATATTGGTCAAATATAAAATTAATATAATGGTATACAGTATACATGTTTTTGCATCGACACTCTTCGAGTATCCAAGTGTAGGAAACAATTGATATGCACTGTATCTCTTTAATACAAAAAAAAACTAGAGCGTTTTCTTAACGGGTTCTACATCTTTTCTTTTTCCTATAGATCTATGCGCCAAATCAACCCGGATCCTCCGCGCATGCGTACATTCTAAAAAGCTATTTGCAACGGTGTAACAGTAAAGATGGCGGGAGCCTCCGACCCGCTGGAGGACGTGCTCTCCGACGAGGTGGACCAGAAGGCGGTCAGCGACCTGGTCGGCTCTTTGGAGTCCCAGCTGGGCGACAGAAAGACTCCCGTGGCTTCTTATTCCGACGGGAAAGGAGACCCAGCAGCGGCCGCTGCCGGACACTTCTCAGGGAAACTGCGAGATCAAGTGGGGTCCGCGGAGCAGCCGCCGCAACAAGGGCATCCGAAAGCTGGGTCGACCCGGGAGCCCGGCGTTAACGAGCCGCTGTCCGGCCAAGCTCTCCCCTCTTCGACATCCACAGGAGTCGCGGGGACCGTTAGAACCGCCGGAACCAGCCTGCAGACGGTGGGAACACCTACTCTAACCGCCTCGCCCGGACCGGGACCCGTAACTTTGAGTACTCAGCCCGTCGCTAGCTTCCACCGGACTGCGGTCCTGGGTCCGAGCGCGGCTCTCAACTCCGCGGAGGCGATCCGGACCTCCTCTCCCGGATTACAGGGCTTGAACGGCAGCGCCGGAGCCGGTGTTCCTCCGCCCGGTGGGGTCAGCTCTGTCATCAGCGCCGGGGGCTCCACTATCGTCGGGTCTATGGCTTCCCAGCCCGGCTCCCCCGCCGTGGCCCTGCAGGGTCACCCCAGCCCGGTGAGCAGCGCCGCCCAGAACGGCCTGGAGCTCAAAGGTGCCCCATCCACCCCAGCCTCTCAGGTCCTGAACCACAGCAACCCTCTGATGCACACCAAGTTGCTGGTGGCGGGCCAGACCCCCACCGGGACCTCCGTCATCTTAACCAGCACCCCACCTCCGGCTGCATCCCAGTCCCCCATCATTCAGACCCAGACTGGGACCAGCACCGTTGGAGCCAAGCCCATCATCAATGGTGTTGCTCAGCCCATGGCCATGGTCAGACCGCCTAGTGTTCCTGTGGGGGGTCCCACCTCCATCCAGCAGCAGAGACCTGGGCTGGTGGCTGGGACGACCCGAGCGGCTGCCCCCCAGCCTGGGATTACGGTCCGTCCCCAGCAACAGACCACCATCCAGCTGTCCCCTGGCTTCACCATACCTCCAGGTCAGCAGACACACCTGTGGTGGGTGGGAGGGGTCACCTGAGGACCTCCTGCAGGTTCCGGTCTCTGTGTTCCTGATTCTGGATCTTCAGGACCCAGAGGAGCTGCATTCATAAGCTGATCATCAATTATTAATCAAAGCATTAATTAATAGACAGAAAGAGTTAGATGCTTGTGTTTTACTCTAAATTTCAAAACCTTAAAAAAGAAGCAGCAGAATAATTAAATTTCTTTGATTTCCTGTCAGTTTGTTCCTGCGTTTCAGGCTACAGCACATTCCAGTAAAACCAGTTTCTGTAAAGTTCTGTTCCTTCTCCCAGAACCTAAAGATGTTCTGATGATAAAAACACCAAGTGATGAATAGTTTGCTATTGTTTGGTCTTTGGGTGTCCATCAGCTGGGGGTCGTCCTTGTCACATTTTGGGTTTCTCTATAGAGGACAGATCAGGACTGCAGGCGGGCCGGTCCAGAACTTGTCACCTCTTCCTAAATGCGTTGGACCGAGAGCAGAATGTTGTTTTTTTTTTGTGCCAAATGCTCAGATGTCCCTGGAAAATCCGAGGTCCTTGAAGGCAGCAGATGTTGCTATAAAATTTATGAAGGACATTTCTGCTTTAATGCTGCCATTAAAACCCTGATCCAAGCCCTGACCATCACAGAACCAGGCTCTTGGACTCGCTGTTTCCTTGGGAGTTTTTCCTTTCCACTGTTGCCATTGTGCTTGCTCAGCATGGAAGACTGCGATAAATTGAAGATTCAACGAGTCTGCTGGCTAGAGAACTTTACTAATTGGCTTTTCTATGCATGTGAATGTTCCTGTAAAGTGCCCTGAGACAACTTTGTTGTGATATGGCACTATATAAACAAACAGCCAGGCAGCCCCAGAGCTTGATGCTGCCACCACCGTGCTTAACATTGAAGTATCTAACTGTTGTGATCGAGTTCAAATCACTTATGTCTCGTGGAACCATTACAAGTTCTTTCAGAAGGATTCCTCTTCATTCATGCGGTTCAGAATGTGAAGCTCGAGCTACTTTGCTTTACCAAGAACCTGATCCTAAATCCAGACCATCACAGAACCAAGTTTTTGGACTTGTTGTTGACAAAATCTGGATGCTCCTTTTCCCTCTTTGGTTAATTTCTTGCAACAAAGACCTGGAATCCTGACCCAGGTTTGCACTGTGTGACGGTCCATCCCAGATGGACCCCAGAGAAGTCGGCGCCGCCTCTGGGTCGGGTTGGAATCATTGTTATGAATCTAACTGGGCTGTAGAACGTGACAAACGTTCCTATAGTAAATCATATTTTCTCACCCCTTTTGTGTGAAACTGGAGATCTTTGCTCCTCAGAAACTCGGACTGACATGAAGACTGATTTAGTCCAAATTATTTTGACATATGTCTGTTGTTTATCTCAAAAGCAGCCCTAAATTGGACCGGTCCCAACGGTTTTGTTGTCTTTTGTGTGAAATGCAGGACTGGGTGGATATTAGCAGCTGATTCAAATATTTTAGATTTAACCAGGAGGGCTGAGCTGAACCTGCAGAGTGGCGTCCAGCTGTTGCAGAACTTCACCAGTGATGAATCTTCCTCTCCCCTCCTACAGGTTCGCTTATCGTTCGGACAGAGACAAATCAGCTGGTCCTGTTCTCTCAGCAGGTTCTGGCTCAGGCCAAGCTTCAGCAGGGCCAACCGATGGTCACCCAGAGACCAGCAGCACCTCTAAGCATGCCTAACATCCGAGTCAGCACCGCCACCACGGTGAGTTTGGTTCTGACCGTCTGCAGGTTGTTTTGAGGAGCCAGGTCCACTTTGTGTGTTTGATTTAAGTAAATAAAAAGTATTTCCTGTAATCTGTTATTTTAATTAATCTGAGCTGAAATTTGATTAATAAATAATCTGAAATTTTATTGTTTCTGTCTGCAGGCGCCTTCAGCCCCTCCAACCGTCCGCCTGGCCTCTCCCCCTCCCACCAGGATTGTTCAGTCTCCCTCCACCACCTCTGTACAGGTGAGGTTTTACACCTGAAACCTTTGGTCCACCTGTGGGAGGTTTTCCACAGCTTAAGCCATTTTTTTTTAGAAATTGATGCAATAAAGATTTAGTGGAGCTGAACAAAACAAAAGTGTAGAAATTAGGTAATTTAGAATGTTATGCCAGCAACACATTTTAAAAAAGTTGTTCCAGGAGCAACAAAAGGCAGTAAAAGTAAGAAATACGGATCAGAACCATCTGGAGGAGAATTTAGTAACCAATAAGTTTAATTATCAGCAGGTCAGTCAGCAGACTGGAAATAAACTGAGACTTTTAGAAGTAAAGATGGGCAGAGGTTCTGCAGTCTGTCTTAAACTAATGAAATGGTTTCAGAATAAAGTTCCTGAATGAATTTCAGAAAAAAGTTCCTGAATTTCTGTCAATCAATCGTTTTGTCGTTGTTGTCAAACAAGGAGATAACGTTGGAGCATTAACAGCATTTACATAAATGTGCACGCAATAAAACATCATTTACATAAATGTGCACACAATTATCCCCCAAAATAAATTGTGTACCCAATAATTCCCAAGCGTGATGTGCTGCAGCAATGCAATATGCATTTCACGGTTATACTGAAAAGTTTAGTGGGTGCTGCAGCAATAAATTGTAAATGTATGGCCATAAGGATCGTATAGGACTGGGAAATGGAGGGGGAGCATAGGTAGTGGGTTGCTTGTTCTACAGCCTGACTGCACGGGGATAGAGGCTGTGGGCCAGTCTGGTGGCTCTGGCATGGATATATTTATACCTTCGTCCAGAGGGCAGTAGACAGACCAGATGATGTGCAGGGTGTGACCGGTCTTGAATGATGTTATGAGCTTGGTGCAGCAGCAGGAAAGGAAAACAGAGGTGAGCTCTGGGAGGCAAGTCCCACTAATTTTTCTGCTTATTTAACCACCCTTTGAAGAGCCTGCTGTTGTGCCTTAGTGCAGCTAGATTACCACATGAGCAATCCATTTGTAAGCACTCTTCCTATTGTGCTGTGAAAAAAAGTTTACCATAAGCCTCCAGGGAAGTTTTGATGTTTTTAATCTCCTCATATAAAAAAGGCGTTGTTGGGCCTTCCCTATCCTATGGCTGGCATAGTGTTTTGCCCCATGACAGATCCTCCGTCACAGTCAGACCCTGGAACTTGAAGCTTGAGACTTTCTCCACCTCATCATTGCCAATATAGAGTAGAGAGTGGCTGAGCTGTCCAGTTTTCAGAAAGTTCACAATTCTATCCTTTGTCTTTTTCATGTTAAGGACCAGGTTATTGTTATTCACTATGCCACTAATTGTTCAACCTTCCTCCTATATGCATACTCATCATTATCAGTAACGAGACCAAGCACTGTTGTGTCATCATGAATTTAATAATATAATTTGATAAGCAGGGGGAGCAGTCGTGTGAAAAGTGTAAAGATGAGTGGACTGAGTACACATCCTTGGGGTGACCCAGTATTAATAAATAAAGTGGATAAAATGTGCCCGCCAATTCTGATACACTGAGATCGGTTAGTTAAGAAATCTGAGGTCCAATTGCATAATGTGGTGTTAAGACCAAGATTGTGCATTTTATTTTGAAGTACGTTAGGCAAGATTGTATTAAAGGCCGAACTAAAATCAACAAAATGCAGCCTAGCATATGTTGTTTCTATGCTCTAGATGCTCTAGCAGAGTGTGTAGCACAATAGCAACGGCATCTTCTGCCAACTTGTTCTTCCTATAGGCAAACTGAATAAACAATAAAGTTCCTGAATGAAAGACTTTAATCTCCATCATCTCCAGTTTATAATCAGAACAGATGAGAAGAATCTGTAGAAATTGCTGAGTGTCAAAATTGGGTGGTCATGATCTTAGGGCCCTCAGGGGACCACTGCATTAAAACCAGCTCTGGTTTTGATCTGGACCTCACTGCATCTGCCTCACTGGTTCTGGGCTCAGGAACATTTCCACAGATCATTGTCTGTAAACACAATTCATCCACAGATGCTTAAAACTCTTTTATCAGGCAAAGAAGAAGCCAGATGTGAACACCACCCAGAACTGCTGCCGTCTTCTCTATACCAGAGCTCATTTTAAATGGACTGATGTGAAGTCCAGAACTGTTCTGTGGTCAGATAGATCCAAATCTGAAATTCTATGTTGAAACCACAGATTCCTGTCCTCCATGCTAAAGAGGAGAGGAACCATCCAGCCTGTTATCCAGCCTATTATCAGCTCACAGCCTGCCTCTCTGATGGTATGGAGGTGCATTTGTGCATCTGGCATGAGCAGCTTACACATCTAGAAAGACTCCACCAAAGCAGAAAAGTATCTTCAGGTTTTAGGACATCTGCTCCCATCATGCAGAGAAGACTGAGGCATGATGAACAGCTGTAGAGTCCTCCATCAGACCAGGATGAACCTCCAACAACTGGTCTCCTCAGGTTCTCTAAAACCTCCCAACAACTGAAAAGGTTCTGACCCTAAGCCTAAATCAACTTGCTAAGCCTAACCCGGACCCCTGACCCAAAGCATAACCCATTATCCTTTGTGCCAACCCTAACCCTCTGACCTTTGACCTAGCCTTTGTATTTATTTGATTTATTTTTATTCTCATAAGTCCTTTTTAGAAGCCTTGATGGAGGAAAGGAGGGCGGGGAGCCAACGCAGTGATGGACAGTGCACAAAAACTTAAGAAAGGTCATGGTCTGAAAGGTTCTGAAGACTTTTTCAAGTGTTTGAGTGGAGTTTTCTGTCAGAACCGCTGAGTTTAGAAGACAGTTTTTGCACAACACTGGTTCTGATCAAATATTATGTCAAGTTTAAATATCCAAATATTCTGAAGTTCTGTAGTCTTCAGAACCACCTCCTAGTTCTGGCTGAGTGCAGAAGTCGAGTGACTGATGGAGTGAATGATGGTGGTGCAGGATGTGTGATGAAGATGATGTTTGTTTCTCTGAAGGCGCTGACGGTACCGGCCGCTGCTGGGGCCGTGTCTGTTAGGATGGCCACACCTCAGAAAACCTCCTCCGTGATAACGGCAGGAGGGACCGTCAAACCTACCGGCGTCCCTACCACCCCTGTCACCGGCACCGCCACGCCCCCTCCCGCAGCTACGCCCATCACCAGAGTCACGGTGGTGTCGCAGGTCGGCTCTCGTTGGTTCTGAAAGGTTCTGAATGCCTCTGCAGGGTTTTTTTTGTTTTTTTTTTACACGCGTGTTTTAATCCGGCAGGAAATGCAGGAAAACGTGAAGAAATGCAAGAACTTTCTGGCCACGCTCATCAAGTTGGCGTCCCACAACTCCCCGTCTCCAGAGACGTCCAAGAATGTGAAGGCCCTGGTCCAGGACCTGCTCGTAAGAGATCCAACTTATCGTGTTCATATCAAATCCAGTTTTCACATCTACTGCCCTTCATCTTTTATGAAGTCATGTTTTCTTGTGGTTCAGATTTGAGTTTTTGTGTTTTTTTGTTCAGGATGCAAAGATTGAGCCTGAGGAGTTCACATCTCGGCTGCAGGCTGAGCTGAAGTCCTCCCCACAGCCCTACCTCATCCCCTTCCTAAAGGTGCTACTTTTCACCACTTTACACTGGTTTACGTCAGTTCACATGAGTTCACACCACTCTACACCAGTATGTTCTGTGAGCCACTCCACTTTACACATTTACTTATACCACATTGATCCTGTTTACACCTGTTTATTTCAAGTTAGCCTGTGCTGTTTAAGCCACTTTACACATTTTTTTGTACTATAGAACCAGTTTACATCACAAAATTCTAACTAAATTAGTACCAAAATCTTTAACAGTCCAACTCCAATCTGCTGGTTTTGTAGCTCCGGTCTCTGCTTCCTCTTGCTGTTAATAAAAAGTGGTTCATTTCTTCAGAAAAGCCTCCCAGCTCTGCGTCAGACGCTCCTCAACAGCCAGCAGTCTCTGATGACCACGCCGCCAAGCACCTCAACTCTGCCTCCCACCGGCTCCGTCACCGCTACCGCCATCCGGCCGCAGTTGCCCGGTAACGCCGCAGGCAGCACCATCCGTCTGACCCCACCCATCACCAACACATCGGCCGTGGTACGCTCAGCAGCTTCACCCGCACACGTTTCAGATTAGATGTTTTAGAAAACTCAGGTTGGGGCTTAACAGGTTTTACCTTAAGTCTTTCAGATTTTTACTTTTAAGGCGTTTCAAGTTGTTTTGTGCGTTTCAGAACAGGTGTATTGCTTTCAGTTTGGACGTTTCACTTAAAAATTGATGTCGTCTGATCCCCAGGCTGTGTGCAGGCCAGGACTCCAGTCTGTTCAGACTCACTCACCTGTTGTCATCAGTCAGACACTCAGACATCCAAGTGAGTCTCAACATATGTGTCTTTCACCTGTAACATTAATCTTCTTTGTAAACCCAGAGGGTGTGTGTTCAAACTTCTACATGTACTGTCAGAATAAACTGTTTTTCTTTCAGCTACACTCATCAGAGGAACAGCAGTCATAGCCGGGAAAACTCCTGTCCACCTGGCAGCTCAGTCCAATCAGAAGAAACTGAGTGACCCAGGGGGCGGGACCTTCAGGTGAGGTCCACGTCTAATTACATGGATTCTTTTAGAAATTAGACATTTATTAAAAATTTAAAAAAACTGGTCCAAGGAAGGATTTTTAGTTACGCTTCAGATCATGTTTCAAACTTCAGCCAGCAGAGGGCAGCAGAGAAGAACTAGTCTTAAGGTCTGATTTCAGGTCATACAGACCAGGTGTTTCTGCTGCTGACTGATGTCTTGTCGATGTTTCCTGGACTCTTCGTCGCGCGTCTGTCGGCCTGCAGTCTGAGAGGGTTCTTTTGACACCTCTTGAATTCTGCTGGTTCTCAGGAGTTCTGGTTTCAGATGTTGAAATGACGTCTTTACGCTCACCTCCCACAGAGACGACGATGACATCAACGACGTGGCGTCGATGGCCGGCGTCAACCTCAGCGAGGAAAATGCTCGTATCCTAGCAACCAGCTCCGAGCTCGTCGGCACTAAGATCCGATCCTGCAAAGACGAGTCCTTCCTGCCCACAGTCCTCCTGCACCGGCGCATCCTGGACACGGGTCAGTCTGTCCCTTAGAACCTTCTGGAGTTTGTGTTTGGACGGTGCCGTGAATCGGAATTAACGGGTCACACATCGTCGAGTCAGAACCCTGGTCACAGCACATTGAGTGTTTGTCCTCAATCTGTCCCGTTTCTCGTCCTCAGCTAAGAAACTGGGAGTGACAGAGGTCCCGCTGGACGTGGTGAACCTGGTTTCGCACGCCACTGAGTCCAGGCTGCGCTCGCTGCTGGAGAAGGTTTCTATCATTGCTCAGCACCGCTCGGATGGCGGAAAGGCAAGAGCACTCTCAGGACACGCCGGTGAATCCGTGTCACAGAAAACGTTTCGCCCAGGTGAATTCAGTAACCATTTCCTCATCTTCCTTGGCAGGACGAAGAGCACTACGAGCAGACGACGGATGTTCGCTCCCAGCTGAGGTTCTTCGAGCAGCTCGAGCGTATCGAGAAGCAGAGGAAAGATGAGCAGGAGCGAGAGATTCTGCTGAAGGCCGCTAAGGTACTGAACACCTGTACACTTCTGTCGCTGTGGTTCCAGACCAGCAGACCTGCAGGACTCGGTCTCGGTCCTTCAGATCAGTCGAACACTGTTCAGAAAGTTAAAGTCAGCGTCTCAGGGCTGTGAGCGGATGAAAACCTGAACTCTGTTTCTCTTCCAGAGCCGGGCCCGGCAGGAAGATCCAGAACAGATTCGGCTCAAGCAGAAAGCAAAAGAGGTACGACGGAGTTTTAATCTTTGTTACGTTAATAATGTGAAGCACACACACGTCATCCTGCAGCGGCATCAGGAGCAAATGACCACATGTGAACTTTGTGTGTTTCTTCAAAGATATGATCATGAAAAAGTTGTTTCCAGTGTTTGGGGATTAAAGCTGCCAGCAAACCTCCCAGATTAACATGATTAGAACTGTAGCAGCAGGCTTGAGCTCCGTCCCCAACACGACTATGAGCATGCTCAGTAATGTTTACTTTTCACATGTTTGCACCAAGCTGAAGACCAGCTCGTCTGATCCCTCCAACGGAAACAGGAAGCTGAACGGTGCTGCAGTTTTGAGTGTTTCTGACCACGGCGGTGTCCTGCAGGTGTCCTCACCAGCGTCTCTTCTTTGTCTCCTTCCACAGAGGCATCAGCAGGAACAGGCTGAGATAAGACAGCGAGACGCTAACCTCACAGCTCTCGCCGCCATCGGGCCACGCAAGAAACGCAAGCTGGACTCGGGAGGCGGCGGTGGCGAGGTATGATGTCACCCTGTAGCTCAGGCAAAGCTGGACACAGTTTACAGGATCTGCCATGTTAAATGTTTAGAACCAAAGTGTGTGATGTTGGGTTGTGGAGCTTCAAGCCCCGCCCACTCTCTCCATATACAATCATATGGTCACATGACCTTTCTTTAAAGCTTGAGATTACATCTAAACATGTTTTTACACCAAGGGCAGTGTTTACATGGAAGGGGCAGGACTTAAACTTGTACCAGAACCAGCTACAGGAGAGTTGGGAAGCTAGTCTCATTCTGGGTTCACCTTACGGGTTCTGGTCGGAGGTCTAGATTAATACGGTTTATCAGACCCAGAGATCGTGTGACTCGATCCACTGCTGTGGGCGGAGCCTGCATTCAAAGCGTAGATAACCACTCATGACCTTCTTGGCCCCCCCTCTCCCCCTTCAGAGTGAACAGAACTGAGAGAAGGGGGTCAGAGTTGGCCTGGGGGGGTGGTTGGAGGCAGTTGTAGGTTTCAGCTCAGCAGAAATCAGCTTCAGGCTCTGAGGGGGGAATGGGCCTCGTGATACACCACCCCTTCTGCCTGAGGCAAACGCCTCACCACTGTGTGTGTGTGTGTGGGAGGGGGGTGGGTTCAGATCTTTTATCCTAAACACGCCATCAGGTTTCCTGTTGCTATGGAAACTCATCATGACAGATAATCAGTTTCCTGCAGAAACCTCATGCAGCGCTGCATCTTCTTTACAAAAAGTTTTTATACAAATAAAATCTGCTGTAACCAGTGTCACGGTTCTGACGCTACAAGGTTCCAACAGATCAGGGTTCTGAAGTTATGGGGTTCCAAAATGTCAGCGTTTTGAAGTTTCCATGTAGAATCCAAAAAAGTTCGATCTGGTCCTCTGGACATTCAAAAAACAAAACAAAGCAAAAAAATGTAGAAACGTTTCGTCCCTCATCCGAGAGACTTCCTCATTCTGAGGTGCTGTATTCAGCTCAGTCTCTTAAATAGCACCTTCTCAGAGTGGATCAACCAGTTTGCTGCTGACAACCAAAACCAGCTGATCACATGCTCAAGAAGGACCATCAGCCTAACAATGGATCATTAGCACACTGATGGCTGTTTACTGTTCACAGAGGGCTGAGTGATACTAGCAATCACAGCATTGTAAGAGGGGGACAGTTGAACCCGGAGGC